AACTCAAAGAGACAAACTACACTTCTTTGCAATAATTGTTTCCAAATGTTACAAGCCCATGATCTGTTAGGTTATTCCCATTTGAGAGAGTCAGTAACAACATGTGGTATTAATTATGTTAACTTATTTGATTTCTCTGAGAAAAAACATTGAGTAAAGCAGACCATGGTAGATTTAATAAAATTAAGACTGGGCATGGTAGCTCATGCCTGTAATTTCAGCCCTCTGTGGGGGGCCAAGGCAGGAGGATCCTTTCAGACCAGGAGTTGGAGTCTAGCTTGGGCAAAATAATAAGACCCTTCTCAACAAAAAAGTAAAAAATTAGCCCATTCTGGCAGCACACTCGTAGTCCTAGCTACTCTGGAGGCTATGGGAGTATGGCTTGAGCTTATAATTTAGAGGTTACAGTGAGCTGTGATTGCATCACTGCACTTCAGCCTGGGCCACAGAGTAAGACCCTGTCTCTAAAACAAACAAATAAACAAAAACAAAATGAGCATCATAACTTGCCTAGCATCCATGTCAGGGGAATCTTATATGTAATGCAATAAGCGTTCTATTTATTTCAATTGAAAAATCCTTTGATCACTAGGAATTTTGAGTTCCAAGGGCATGAACTACTAACATTTGCAAAAAGATAACGTTTCTTCCCTTAACACCGAGTGTCACTAGCAGAATGGCATGGGTTGGGAAGATAAATATTTCTTGAACTGTTTGATCCATTGTCATTTACAAAAGATTCAGAACTTTAAACAAAGAGTGTGTGGAGGAATCTGTCTCCTATCTATCCCTAATCAAAGTGGACCTTAAAAGATACAATAAGAATGCTCAGCTTGTGGACAGAGTAAGATAACTTGCTAGGTAGGTGAATGAATGGCCAGATAGATGCATAGCAGAATAAGAAACAGAACTTTTTTCTCTCAAAGCAATTTTTATAATTTTTATTCAAGTTAAAACCACAAATATGTGGCCTGTGTCCCCACATAAGACTATAAGTTCCATAAAGGCAGACGTAGGTGCTTGTTTTTGTCACTGCTATTTCTCCAGTGCCTAGAATATACACTAGTAGAATGTGAAAGAGTTAAAGAAAAGAAAAACAAGAAAAGTGGCTCAAACAGTCAAAGACAGGTTTATTTTGGAGAATAAACCTGAAAGGGGCGACTGGCCGATTTCAGTCAAGAACATTCTCTCATACAGACCAAGAGTATTTAAGGGTTTAGGGTAAGATATTATCACAGACTTGGAATGTTTCTGTGTGGAGAAGCTTATTGTGGGATTGGGATGTCCCTGGTCGGAGGGGACGTTTCTTGGAGCTGACATCTTCCCAGTCAGAGGGGAGGTTATCTCCGGGCTGGTGTGGCTTTGGTAGGGGAGGGGTTTAAGATTGGAATGTTTCTGGTTGGAGATGTCATTTGTGGTTCATGGTCATGCTAACATTAGTCCTATCATGCTGATGCCCTTTGGGTTGGATTTAGGTGGTTCTTTAATCAAGGGGAACTTTAAAATGATGGTCCTGGTCTAAGATGGTGATGCTCCTGCTCTGTCAGGATACTTAATTAATATTTGCTAAAGAAATTAATAAATCATAGATGAAAATAAAGCTTTTCTCCATTTCCGAAACCAGAGACCATACTCTCTTAGCACTTATCACTGCAAGGGACCTCAGCTTCAGTCCTTGCCTTGTTGTCTTCAGAGCCCTTCCTATGCATAAATTTGTGAGTTTATCTCTAAATCCAATGTGAGAAATCTAAAAAAAAAAAAAAAAAAAAAAAAAAAAAAAAAAAAAAAAAAAAAAAAAAAAAAAAAAAAAAGAATCAAAATATATGTAGTGCAAGCCTCCAAGTTTTAACTTTTAAGTAAGGACAGAAGGTCATAGAATCCTGTTAATTTGGTAACCTTGATAAAAATCAGAGACATTTTAAGAGCTTAAAAAGCTAGGCTGACCCACCTTTAGACACCCAGTATAATTGAAGACAATTTCAACTTCCATTAAGACCTTTGTTATGTGCAGGCCCTGTCAAAAAAAAAAAAAAATGAGATAAGTTTTATATAACTGTAAAAAGCAGCAATTCATCTGCATTCATTTTAACCTGAAACCTGCTGGTAGAAGATATGAATTAGATAATTTGACAGCATGTGTTTTGGTGATTGTTACAGCTTATGGGAGACTTTATAATATTCTTTTTTTTAACTTTTTATTACCAAAGGTTATATTCCCACATTCTACATTACTAAAGGTAATATCAAAAACTGCATAGTTTTTGCAGTTTATCAAAAAATAGTTTTCTGATACATGTTTTTATATAGATCTAGTTGACAGATTAAAAACAGTTCATTAGTTAAATATAAATTTCAGATAAAAATTTTTAATCTAACTAGTTTCCCATCTTTGTATTTTCTAAATCTGGCAAGTCTGTGTAGATCTGTGTAAACACAAACTGCAAAAGCAGATGTGGTCATGTCAATGTAATCTTCGGAATGTAAATAAATAATTTCATTTGTAATCACCACATTGACATATTTTTAGATGTCATTTTATATAAGATATATAATAATTTTATTGCTTCTCTTGGAATTAAAATATTAGTGACTTGTCACCTATAGATGTTATTGACTGATTACCAAACATAGATGAATTGAAGAGACTTATGAAGAGTCTTCACAAGTAAACACTCAGTATATGAACGCTAACATCCTGCAGTAGGATCATCATGGGAAAAAAATAACCAGCATTGTTCTCTTCCCCTCCCCCAACCTTTATTTTTTTCTTACAGTTAAATTTATCTAAAGAAAAGACATACTTGTCTGGTTCCACTCAGATATCACTGAGTAGAGTCAGTGGAAAGAGACTTTAACTCAAATTTTGACTATTTCCTTGTCCAAAAAAAAGTGAATATAATAATGCTACCAGCATTCAGAAGTTGCTGGGAGCATGAAAGAATATCACCTTTTTAGTCTGTAAACAGTTAAGCACAAAATTAATGCTAATTAATTAGGTAACATCAATTATGTATTTTTCTTGTGGTTTCCACTAAGAAATTTGAATTAGTTTCTGAGATTTAAGTTGTAAAATTAATACCCAGTGAATCCCAGCAGGAATATGCAAAGCACTTTGAAAGATTGATGGTGGTCCGCAATCTGTGAGATGGCCTACCTGAGTGTAAACAGATAGGCATGTCTTTTCTTTAGATAAATTTAATTCTAAACAGAAAATAAAAGTAGTTGGGAGGGAAAGTATTTACATAGGCATCATGCATTTTGATTTTGCTGGCCTTTGTTGCTATGTTAACTCACAAATATGCTGGTTACTCTTCCCACATTGGTCCTACTACAAGGATGAAAAAGGTTGCTTATGAAGATGGAAGCAGTTTCATTTTCATGTGTTCACCTTCATTCATGATTAACTTGTGTCTTTTGCTGAGATCTGCTGACAGATCAAGTTTCAGAACTTGCATGGCTCAGGCATACTTTGATACATTTACCAAGATAATGAATGCCTTCATAAGGCCCCTAGACAGAAAAGTTTTATGAGGTGCACTGATAACCCCAAGTGGCCAAGAATGTAATCTTGTTCTTATTTGAATTTCTGTATACAGTTTGTATTGGAAAAATTGTTTTAAACCAAGTAAAAAAAAAAAAAAAAAAAACCATTGCCTCCATCTGGCATTGAATATAGCTTAATTAGTCTCATTCACTTCTTGGAATATCTCAGTATCTGTCATATATCAGAAATTAGGGTAGGAATAGTGCTATTTTTTAATAGACATATTAATAATGCAGATAAGTTTATCATTTTGTACATCTACAAATAAACAAAATAAAGTCTTCATGAATTAAGTTATACTATATAAAACTTACTGTGCATACGGATTCTTCCAAAGAAACTTAGTCTTTTGGGACAAAAATATGTATATGTCTCATTAACATAGCTCATAAGGTTAATATAAATTTGCTATCCTCCAGACTTGATTGTCAGTACCCTTAATGCTGCACAAAATGATAAATATGAGTTTTTTTAATTTTTATTCAATATTAACTGGAGACATAAAATGACATTCAAAATGTATCTCAAAAATTCTTTTATCTTTTATTATGAAACTTTAAAAAGTACCAGGGAAATAGTATCTATAAATACTTATTATCATAGTAGAATATTATCTGGAGCCTTGCAGCGGTTTATGTGGTATACCAATAAGTTTTCAATACCTGACATCACCCTTAAGCTCTGCTGCCCTCTCACATAAACAGGTCTGGAGATAGTTCTAAAATAACAGATCACAAAGCTCACATAAAACAGCAAGGATGTTGTCTAGTGCTGTGACTATGGTACTTTTCCAGTCACCTTTAACCAAAAGAGCTGCCTGAGTTGTCTGCTATATGATATTCTGATACAGAGTACTAATATTGAAGTTATAGTTCTGAAATAACTCCTTGTTGCATGTGAAAGAAACACTTGGCAGTTCCAGAGCCCGAGTAGACCACTCAGGAATAGACCTTGATGCTTGACAGCAGGAAAGCTGAGTCAAAGGAAAAGGACCTTGCTTCAGCCTCCATTTCTTTGTTCAGAAAAAGGAATATAATAAGGTTACCAGGATCAGAAATGTTGCTGGGAGAGTGAAAAGGTATTACCTATTTAAATTGGAAACTAGTAACCACAAAATTAATGTTAATTAATTTGATAACACTAATTGTGTATTTTTCTTAAAAATGCATAAAAATAAACATGCAACTATTAAAATACCAGTGATTTGATGGAATTCAAATTAACCATACTTTAAGATAAATTAGAAAGATGCTTGGTTTTGTTGTTTTTTTTTTAAATTGATATATATTCAGATGAATAAAGATTATTATAATTTATAGTTACTACTCTAGAAGTTTTTCTTTTATCCTAAGACTTTAATGCACAGTAGTAACATAAATTATCGGTAATAACACACAATGTGAAAAAATATACTGCATATACATTGATTTATAACATGTACCCATTATTAGCCAAAACTTTTGAAAAATATATCTTTGAGAGACTGTATATTAAAAACTAGATGAAATTGATATTTATAATTTATTTATATGAATATGATTATAGAAGTTCATTTTATTAAGTGTTTTATATTCAAAATTTCATGTAAAGCCTTTCAATATTCAACATCAGAAGGAATCAATCTAAGATATATGTTATTGTGGTAGAATTTAGTTTTTTAGCTTATTTTTATTTTCATTTATTTTTTGGAGTACAAAAAATATTTTACTAAAACATAAGATTTACAGAAGTGAGCAGACAAGCCATACAAAATGGTCATGAGCTTTTTTTTGAAGGGGGAATGTACGCTTGACAGCAAAGTCACAGTGTTATTAGTGAGGGCTGTGATGTTTGGTTAATGTTCCCCTTCCGGTTCAGACATCAAGCTTGTCCATCTACAGTGTTAAATCAAGTGAGACTTGGCTAGAGAACATATTCTAAAGAACTGGTTAGTTGCTTTTAAGCAACGCAATTAGATCACCAAAAAAAGCAAGAAAGGACCTTGTAAATTTAAACTATTGCCCTACTCAGAAAAATAAAATTAAAATTAAATAAAGTAAAGAAAAACACCCACACTCCTGCAGCTAACCTGACAACTACCTTCATTCATAGTGCTTTATACTTAAACCAAGATGGGAGAAATGAATAAAAGCAGAAAGGGGCCACTGCTTTTAAACGTTTCACAACAGTCCAAATGATACTTCCAGCCTCTGCTCATGCTTTACAACAGTGAATCAGGACAAGACATAGATTTGCTAATGTGCATTTAATTACCAAAGGACTGAAGATGTCTGGGCTTTTATTATGTAACGTTTCTAAGACTGTGTCCAGTAAATGCAAACAAAAAGAAAGAACTCTGTCTTGGCAGAACAGGAGAAGCGGTGCCCACTTGATGATCAGCTCAATCTAAATATTGTTCATGACATAAAGCCTAGTGCCTGGTCTAGCTGTTTCTATGCCTCGGGCTTCGTTGGTCTTCCAATGTTCCTCTATATCATTTGCTAATGGAACATCTGGATTGGGAGCACTTAACAGGTCCTGGATCAATAGCAGAACTGTGTGGATCTGCAGTGCTAGGGACCACTTATCTTTTAGATTATCTAAACATATTCTTCCCAACTTGTCTACATTAGGATGATAAATTTTGGTCATGAAATGCACTTTAGGCGCTGCCATTGGATATTCTTCTGGAAAGAATAGTTCAGGTTTAAAAGTCCCTCCCTCAAAAGGGGAATCCTGGGTGTTGGTCTCATCTGGTTCTGCTTTGACTCCAGGATCTGGTTCTGCCAACAAATGCTTGGTTTCCCTGATGATCCTGCGGGGCAGCCCAGATGTCTTGTCAGGTCCCAAGTTTGGCCTCTGGTCTCTAACTTCTAGTTTATATATTCTTGTTTTTAATGTGCAAAGATATACACTTAAGCTTACTAGGAGAAAAACAGAACACTGTCACTGTTTATTATGTATCAATTAACATAATCTATTTTAATGGTATTTCAGAACAACAAAAAAGAGATCTTAAAGATTTCAGTGTAATTGAAATCTGAAAACATATTCCATATAATTTACTATGAAAGAGAAGTGACAGTCTAATACAGTCATATTCATTTTTTTGTTTTGTTTATTACAATAGACATTTAGAACATCTTTTCCTAAAGGAATTTCAGTTGCTTTGCTGATTTTCAACTTGTCAGATTGTTTATTCCTTTTCCTTTTTGCAATATAATGATAACGAGAATAAATTTTGTTTTGTGTGAAAATAGATTTATTTCTGTAGCAGTTAAAGAGATAATCTGATAAATCTGAATGTTATTTTAACAGTTTGTGCTCCTGTCATACTTTGAACTGTGAATTTTATTCAACTGCCCTCTATCAGGCAAGCTTTATGAATTCCTGCAATTTGCTGAAGGCATTGTAACAAAAACAATACAGTGAAGTAGAATAAACCTTTAAAAACTGTGAAGATTATACTTATTTTTTATTATTTATTATTTTCTGTAAGAATTTTGGACAAAGACCTGTGCTTGGGGGTGAAACACAATTGATTATTTCCTTTAAATCTATTTTCTTTTTTCTTTCTATAGTGAAAGGCTTATTGATATATAATTCACACAGCATGAAACTGACTATATTAAAGTGTACAATTCAGTGTTTTTTACAATATTTGCAGAGTTGTGCAACCATCATCACTATCCAATTTTATAATATTTTCATCACCCCTCAAAAGAACTCCACACCCATTAGGACTCACTCCCCATTCCTCCCTACTCCCAGTTTTCTGGTAACCAATAATTTACCTCTGTCTCTTTGGATTTGCCTGTTCTGGACATTTTATATAAATAGAATGAATAAATATGTAGTCTTTTGTGGTTTGCTTCTTTCCTTTATTATACTATTCTGAGGTCTGTCCATATGATAGCATGTATCAATATTTCATTCCTTTTTATGAGTTATGACAAAAATATTTTATGGATATATCACATCTATATTTATCAATTTATCAGTTGATGGATATTTAGATTGTTTTCACTTTTAGACTATTATCAATAATGCAAATGTGAACATTGGTGTGTAAGTTATAAAGACATATTTTTATTACACTTGGGTGTATATTTAAGAGTCAAATTGCTGCAGCATATGGTAATTTTATGTGTAATATTTTCAGGAATGGCCAAACAACTTTGCAAAATGGCTGCTTCATTTTTAAAACCAGAAATTTATGAGAATTCCCATTTTTTTCATGTCTTCATCTACACTTTTTTTTTTTTTTTTNTTTTTTTTTTTTGAGACAGAGTTTCACTTTTGTCACCCATGCTGGAGTGCTATGGCATGATCTTGGCTCACTGCAACCTCCACCTCCTGGCTGGGACTACAGGCACACACCACTATGCCTGGCTAATTTTTGGATTTTTAGTAGAGTCTGGGTTTCACCATGTTGGCAAGGCTGGCCTCAAACTACTGATCTCAGGTGATCCATCTGCCTTGGCTTCCCAAAGTGTTGGATTACAGGCGTGAGCCATAGCACCCAGCCAATATTGTCTTATTTTTTTAAGTTTTGTTATTCTATTAGATATGAGATAGTATCTCATTGAGGTTTTTGTTTACATTTACCTAATGAATAATGATATTGGGCATCATTTTATGTACTTGTCAGTCTTTATTCTTTCTTCTTGGGAAAAAGATGTACTCCAACTTTTGCAGTTTTTGAATTTGTTCTTTTATTGTTGAGTTGTAATAAATCTTAATATATTCTGATTACAAGAAATGTATCAAATATATAATTTGTAAGCATATTCTCCTGTTGTGTGCATTGCTTTTTCATTTCTTTATATGTTGATGCACCAGTTGTTAAATTTTGATAAAGTTCAATTTTCTAAATGTTTTTGTCTCTTATGTTTTTGGTGTTATGTCTAAGAAACCATCGCCTAGCAAAAGGCTGTGAAAAGTTTCCCCTATGTTCTCTCTTGTAAAAGTTTTGTAACTAGGGGTTTTGCACTTAGATTTAAATCCAATTTTGGTTCATTTTTGCCTATTGTGTGAAGTAAGGGGTCCAAATTCATTCTTTGCATGAAGATTGTTGAAAAGACTATTCTTTTCAACACATAATTGGGTTGAAAAGACAATTGTGAAAAGACTATTTTCACACAATTTTAAAAAGACTATTATTTCCCAGCTGGGTGCAGTGGCTCACGCATGTAATTCCAACACTTGGGAGGTCAAGGCGGGCAGACCGTGAGGTCAGGAGATGGAGAACATCCTGGCTAACATGATGAAACCCTATCTCTACTAAGAAAAATATATTTAAATAAATAGCCAGACATGGTGGCATGTACCTGTAGTCCCAGCTACTTGGAAGGCTGGGGCAGGAGAATCACTTGAACCCAGGAGGTGGAGGTTGCAGTGAGTGGAGATCACTCCACTGCACTCCACACTCCAGCCTGGCAACAGAGCAAGACTCTGACACCAAAAAAAACAAAAGACTCTTATTTCCCCATTAAATATTTTTGGAATTCAAACCTAAAATCAAATAATCATAAATGTAAGATATATTTCTGGACAATTAAGTCTATTATATTTATTTATTTGTTTTTTCTTATGTAGTACACACTGTATTGATTATTATAGTTCTGTAATAAATCTGGTTATTGGGAAGTATGAATCTTGCAACTTTGATGTTCTTTTTAAAATGTTATTTTGTCTATTCTGGAGTCATTACATTCTCAAATATATTTTAGAATAAGCTTGTTAATTTTTTAAAAAAAAGGTAATTGATTTTTTTTGGTAGAGATTGTATTGAATCCATGTACCAAATTGGAGAGTATTGCCATCTTAACAATATTGTCTTCCAATTCTTTCCATTTATTTAGATTCTCTTTGATATTTTCAACAAGATTTTGTAGCCTTCAGTGTAAACATATTAAACTTTTGTTGTTTATTTATAAGTATTTAATTATTTTGTGCTATTATAAATAAAGTTGTTTTCTTCATTTTATTTTTAGATGTTTCATTACTAATATATAGACATACAGTTGATTTTGGATATTGACTTGTATTCTGCAAACTTGCTGTAATTATTAGTTCTAAATTTTGTGTGATGTTCTCAGGGTTCTCTATATATAAGAGCATGCCATCTGTGAGAGGTCACGATTTTACCTCTTTCCAATCTGAATACTTACTTCCTTTCCTTGCTTAATTGTTCTGGCTAGAATCTACAGGACAATGTTGAATAAAAAGATGAAAGTAGACATCCTTGTTCTGTTTCTGATCTAAGACGGAAAGCATGTAGTCTTTCCTGCTTAAGTTTGACATCAGCTATGGATAATCAGGTTCAGGAATTTCCCTCCTATTTGGTAGATGCTTTTCATTGGGTTCAGAAGTTCCCCTCTATTCTTATTTCTTAAAAGCTTTTACCATGTAAGAATGCTGGATTTTTCAAATATCTTTCTACTTCTATAAAAATTCTCATGTGGTTTTTATAATTTATTGATATGATGTGTTATATTGATTGATTTTTGGAGGTAATATCAACCTTGCATTCCTGATGTAGTAACCACTAGGCAATGGAGTATAATTCATTTAATGTGGGTCTGCATTTAATTTCTTAGTATTTTGTTGAAGATTTTTATGTGTATTTTTATAAGAGATATTATTGTATATTTTCTTTTTTTGCTATAGTTGTCTGGTTTTGATATCAAGGTAATATGTAGAATGAGTTGAAAGTGTTCCTTCCTCTTCTACTTTTTGCAAGCATTAGTTAAACACTGGTATTAATTAAATGTTTGATAGAGCTCATCAGTGAGGCAAGTGAAGTAGGGCTAAAAATTTTCTTTTTGGGTAGTTTTCCTAATTACTCTTTCAATCTCTTTACTTATTATAGATCTTTTCAGATTTTCTATTTATTCTTGAGTCAGCTTCAGTAGTTTGTGTTTGTCTAAAAATTTGTCATTTTAATGTAGGTTATCTAATTTGTAAGGTCACAGTAGTTCATACTATCTGTCTTAATTTTTTTTAATTTCTCTAAGTTCAATAACAATGTTTCTTCTTTCATACCTGATTTAGTAATTTACATTTTCTCTCGGGTCATCTTGTTTCATCTAGCTTAAGTCTGGCAATTTTGTTAAACTTTTGGTTTTGTTGGTTTCTTTATTTTTTTTTTCTATTGTCTGTTCATTTATTTCTCCCCTTAATGCTATTATTTCCTTCTTTCTCATAGCTTTATGTTTAGTTTGCATTTTTACTTTTTCTAGTTTCTTTAGATGGAAGGTTGGGTTACTGATTTGAAATTCTTCTTGTTTTATACTGGCATTTACAGATGTAACTGTCCTTTTAAAGAATGCTTTAGCTGCATCTCAAAAGGTTTGTTTGTTCATTTTATTGGAGACAGGGCCTCACTATGTTGCCCAGTCTGACCTTGAACTCCTGGACTCAATTGTTCTTTCTATTTCAGCCTCTGAGTAGCTGAAATTATAGGTGTGGGCCACAGTGACTGGCTAGGGTTTGTTGTGTTGTGTTTTTACTTTCATTCATGCAATTATGTTGTAATTTTTCTTGTGCATTTTGTTGTTTTTGTTTTTTGTGTTTTTTTTTTTTTTGTCTGTTGGTTATTTAGGAGTGTTTTCCTCCATTTTCATACATTTTTTAATTTTCTAATTATTCTTCCGTTAATGATTTTCGTTTTTCTTTTTATTGTGTTTGGGAAAGAGACAATGAACAATTTAATACCTTTTAAATTTATTGAGGCTTGTTTTATAGCCTAGCCTGTGGTTTATCAAGGAGCTCATGATTACCTGACAAGAATGTCTTAATATATTCTGCTATGATTGTATGCTCTATATATTATGGTTATACATGCTAGTATATAGTTCTAGTGCTGTTTAACTCTTCTGTTTTCTTTATAATCTTCTGCTTACTTGTTCTATTCACTGTT